GACACATGAAGAAATGTTCAACCTCACTAATCATCAAGGAGATGCAAATTAAAACCACACTGAGATACCACCTAACCCCAGTCAGAATGGCCACCTAAAACTTGATCAAATACCACAAACACAGCTATACTGATTTTCAGGATCAATCTGCACAGAAAATGAAGTTTTCTGGACCATGGTTCTTTATAAAGTATTTAGTAAATGCTGGCACAGAAGAGATGCCCAGTAAGATAGCACCCTTCCCCTTTTCTCCATGCCTCTTGTCTCCCATATGAAATTGCTTACTAAGTCCTGATGAGTCTCCACTCGTCCTGATTCCCTTCACACCTTAATATGAATTTTCACCTGAGCCAATAGTTTTCCAAACGACTTTCTCATTTCTAGTCTCTCTAAGATACCTATGCAATATCAGATTTATCTTCCAAAAACAAACGTCTAATTATGATACTTCCAAATTTAAAAAAAATCAAGTATAGACTCCACAGTTTGTTACAAAAGACATTCCATATTAGGTCCCCAGGTTCTTATACCAGCCATATTGCATCGACTTCCCATACCAGTGATTCTCTTTTGAGTCCCACTTTCCCTTGAAAATTTGATGACAGCTCTAGAAAAAAATGCACATGCCAAATTTAGCACATCATTTCAGAAGTTCAGGTTCCTTTAGGATACATAATCCCTATGTAAGAAATTTTCTGCTAACCTCTGGAAAAACTCAACTATGCAATAATCTCCAAACACACAACTTTTCTGCTTCTGTATCTCTGCACATGCTTTTGTCTCTGCCTGGATTGTCTTTCCCTTATCTCTACCTCTCAAAGTCCTGCCATCTTTCATGATTAATCTCAAATACTACCCTTTCTCTGAAATATATCCTGATGCCCCTAGCAAGAAATATTTTCTCTGATCTCACATAAAACCCTGCTATCAAATGTCCTACATTACCATTCATGATCTGCTGTATATTACAATTATTGTTATAGGACGGTAGTTAAAAGTGTGGACTAAAGAGCCAGGCTGCCTTGTTTGCATCTGGGTTCTGCCATTTACGACTGAGCCCTACAGAGCAAGTTACACAACTGCTGTGCCTGTAAAATGAGGATAAAAGTACCTATGTCATAGGGTTGTTTCACAGGAATAAATAACTTAATGCATTCAAAAGTAAACAGAACACAAAAACCAGTGCCCGATCATTATTAGTTGCTACAACATCCTCCTCTTCTTTCTCTTGTACGTGTAGAGAAACTGTGTGTCAGCAGAAGTTGTTCAGGGTTTTTAAGTCAGAAGACTGTACTTTGAATTTTGGTTCAGCAACTCATTTGTAGCATCACCTTGGGTAAACCTGCCTCCACATATGGAATCAGAGACACCACCACCTCTGTCACAGAGTTGTTGAGTTTATATGAAAGATATTTGTACTTGAAAATATTTTATAGCTAGTAAAACTACATATCCAATAGTTCAGATGTACAATTCCTTATCTCCTGTAAACTCCAGGAGGATAGGTACTACGTTTTAATCAACTTGATATTTATAAAAAACACCTCTTAAAATGACTTTTACATGGTAAGTTGCTGAATTGCTTCTCACGGTGTCAACTTTTTAAAGTAAAATGTTTACCTATAGAGGGTTAGAAAAGATATTACCTGTAACTATCAGTAGGATCTTCTTTAAAGGGGAAGGTAAGTGCTTTAATCCATATAAAATGTTTCATTTAATTCCAAATTACTTTTCTTATTTAGACATAAAAACAAAATAACATGTATCATGAATTTAAAAATAAGTCATTTAATAACATTTATTTTTGCTTCACTCAAGTCTAATAATTTTTATAAAATCTGGATTCCTCAAACTACCTGCCTGACTTTGATAGCTACCTTCCCCAGCATTCTGTCAGGTCTCTATCCTCCAGGCTCTGAAGATTGCTCCACACATCCCTGTCCCCAGTTCTCACAACTCAAACTCATTTACTTACATCCCCTACTGTACTGTACCTAATTCACTCTTATTATATAAACCATCCAGACCCAACCATTAACACATCAGATGAAAAGACACAGAATCAGGGACAATACCTGAAAACTCCATATATTTGATTTCTAATATTTGAAAATTAAATATGTATATAATTTATAATATAATTTAGAACATGAACATTCAAACACACTAGTAGGTTAAAAATATGTGGGAAGCCTTAAACATGGGACTATCTCAGTGATATGCTCTGCATTTTTATTAAGAATTAAACTGCTCTTGTCTAAATTTAATATGCAAAAAGATAACAGTCCTTTTCTATATAAAATTTTTATCTATCACAAAATATATATTAAGTAAAACCCCTTATGCTTGAGTTATTTCCCAAGTTTGTTTAAAAGTTGCTTTAAATGATTAAAGTAATAAAATAATGGCTAACGTGAAAATTACAGTTCTTATCAGCTGATGTAAATAAATCCCAGCAAAATGTTTAGTATAAAAGTTCATTGCATGTACAAACTTGTGAATATACTTAAAAACAAACAGTTGTACACTTTAAATGGGGGAACTATATGGTATGTGAATTATTTCTCAATAAAGCTGTTTTTTAACAAAAGGCATAAAAACAAAAGTAAAAAAGCTCAATGCAATGTCTCTTGGTTAAGATGAACAATTTCACTTGTGCCCTTAAATTTAATAAAATTGATTGTGGCAGTTTGTTAAAGCCCAAATATAATAAAATGCTTTTGCTTGGGATTATTGTTTGGTTGGCTTGTTGTTTTTTTCCGTTTTTTCTTTTCGTTTAATAAACAAAATGAATACAAACTATACCAACCACAGGAGTCATAACGTTGCCAGTAAGTTGGTAGTGGTACTGCCCCAAGGAATGCAATCAACTGATCATTCACTCACTCCCTCCATCATTCAACAATATTGATTATCAGTTTGTTCAGCAGGGATACACTGGTGAACAATACTCATAAAGTTGGGTTTGCCCTCTCTTGGTATCATGCTGCTACTAATTTATTGGTAACTCTGGAGGGCAACTAGGATGGGTCAATTGGTACATTCTTACCCTAAATCTGTGGTGCATGGAATAAAGAGTAAATGTATGAAACAAACATTTAGAGATGTCAAAGAGGGCCCACAAAACTATCTCCTCAGTAGTCTTTACTATTTTAAAAAATATCAAGGCTGAGTGCAGTGGCTTATGCCTGTAATCCTACCACTTTTGGGATTACATTCTCAAAGGCAGGAGGATCACTTGAGCCCAGGAGTTCAAGACTAGCCTAGGCAAGATAGTGAGAACTTGTCTCTACAAAAAATTTTAAAAATTATACAGATGTATGGTGGCACATGCCTCTAATTCCATCTACTTGGGTGACTGAGGTAGGAGGATCACTTGAGCCCAGGAGTTTGAGGCTGCAGTAAGCTGTGATCATGCTACTGCACTCCAGCATGGGTGACAGAGTGAGATCCCCAACTCAAAGAAAGAAGTCATCAATTTGATGGAAAGCCATAATAATACTTCTCCTACTATTACTTGTATAGATGTAGATATATAAACAAAATGAGTATAAACTATACCAACCACAGAAAATATTAAGAAAATATTAATTTTGATTAATATTTTCTTAGTCAAATATGTTGATTAAGAAACGGTTGCCACTGGGTTCAGGAAAGAGAGAAATTGGGTATGCTGATAAAAGTCCTACCAAAGGAAAACATATCTCGTACTGAGCTCTCTTCCTTTTCCATCTAGTCTTCTTCCCGGCTCCTACAACAAAAGTCTATGACTCACTTATGGAAACAATAAAAAAATATATCAAGATAAAAACAGTAGAGTACGTTAAAGTATAGAGGTAAGTGGGTCCAAAGGAAAGTGGCCTATAGGTCTTTTTTTTTTGAGTTGGAGTCTCACTCTGTCGCCCAGACTAGAGTGCAGTGGCCGCTCCTGGCCACCACAGCCTCGACCTGCTGGGCTCCAGTGATCCTTCCGCGTCAGCCTTCCAAGTAGCTGGAACTACAGGCTCATGCACCCTGCTAATTTTTTGATTTATTGTAGAGATGTGGTCTCACCAAGTTGCCCAGGTGGGGCTTGAACCCGCGGGTTCAGGCAATCCACTTATCTCAGTCTCCCAAAGCGTGGGATTACAGGCTGAGCCACCAAGCCCGGCTCCATAGGTCTCATTAAAGTTTGGGAACCAAACTTCAAACTAAGAAGTTTGAGAACCAAAATTTAAAAGGATTTCTAACATATCAATTTTGTTTTTCTAATAGACCTAATAGACACTTAAAAAGTTAACATGTCAGAGGGCGTTTGAAATTACAACCTCTCATTATAGAAATAGAGAAATACTGTGACCTAAAACAGACCATAATAATTTTATTAAATGGATAACCCATGGCATTATTTCTACAGAACCACAGAGTATGCTATCTCATTTCATTATTAATTTAGTAATAACATAGAGGTAACATGATGAATCCAAAATGTTGTTTCTTACTTGTTACAAAAGCTGAATGGTAATATCCACAAGAGATCCAAGAGATAGGTTTTCCAACGTTCACTTGCTGAGGAACAAATGTATTAACTATACCATTCAAACCAATTTGTCCTTCAGAATTGTCACCCCACATGAAAAGTTTTCCATCCTCTATAAAGAAAACACAAGGGAGAGAAGGTTTTAAAAGGCAGCGAGGGTCTCAAGCTATTATACTTGCAACAGACCATTTTTTTAAATTTAGAAAAGGTATGTTTCTTGACAGAAAAATACTACTAAGACATTTATACCAGCTAGTCATTTAAGAGTTTAATTTCTATTGTGAAATGCTATGATGATGATAAAGAACAGGAGAACAGTCTAACTGTAAATCACTTTAAGTCACGTCCGTATGTTATCTCAATAGCAAAGACAGAATGATGCCCTTTTCTATAATCACCTTTTTTTTTTGAAAGCAGGATTTATTGAGAGGATGAAAAACTCCCACAGTGGGAGGGAACCTGAGGGGGTTGCCAATAGACTTTTCTTATATTAATGTCTCTAAACAGAAATGTTCTCTTCCTTCCACATAGTCTACCTGCAACTAAAGTGAGAGTCAGATCTCACTAGACATTTCCAGGTCAAAGGGGCCTGAAAGACTTTGCTCTTGAGAGCATTGTGGAAATGATGACTTAAAAAGAGAAAAGAAATAAATGCATTTCACTATTTTTTCCTTATAATTTACACCTGAAAACACAGTCTAGCTTCAGAAAATGAGGATATAGTATCATGTGTAGCATTTCAAAAATAGGTCAAGTTATATCATTCCTGATAAGGGTTCTGATGTCAGAAAAATTTAATCCAGGAGAAATATTTTAGAAAGGAATGTCAAGACATATCTTATAATTAATTAAAATTTTTGAAGCGGTTTATAATAAGGCAAATGTAATGATAACCGAAAATAAGAACTGAAAGAAAGATGTCAAAATGCTAACTATAAGGCTGATAAAATTTAAGGGACATAGCTCCAGATTTGACTCATTCATGACAGTCATAGCAACATGACAGTTACACTGTCTCCTGCTTGGAACAAAGCAGCTGACCAGCAGTTTCAGTGAGATCAAGCTGACCTTGGCTCCAATTTTTTTTTTTAAGATGTGGAGTACAATTCAGGGTTAGGCACAAAAGTGGTCATAAATTTGGAAATTTCTCATATGGGCTTTTGAGAGGGAGAGCAGAGAGATGCAATAACAGTTACAAACCGTATTTAACAGCATATGTTGCAACAGATTTCTTTGGATATTCTGCTAGCAACTTCAGTTAAAGCTGCAAGTATAACTTTCAGAGCACACAATGAAGATAATATTTAAGTACGTTTAAAGGAGTAGATGGACACCATAGCTAGAATTTATTTACCAATTACCTTCTAAATGTACATTTACATCTAACACTAAATAAAAATAAAATTGCAATATATGTCAAGATTTAAAGTTATATTTGTAACGTCTTCTGAAAGCACAAAGATAGTCAACGAAAGAAAACGAGGCAGCCATGCTGTCTTCAACTGAGTTGGTATATCCTGGTCTAAAGGAAAGGCATGCATCCCAGACTTAAATGGAAACGAGTCTCACCAGTTAGGGCAGCTGAAGTATTAGATCCAGCAGAGAGCTGTTTAATCTTATGCTGGGATGTAAAAAATCTAATTGGATGAAAAGTATTTCTCTCTTCAATATCACCAAGTCCCAACTGCCCTTCATTATTTCCTCCAGTTGAATATACAATGCCTTCTTCTGCACATGGAAAAGAAAATATCAATATACTGTAGTCAGCTTCTTTATAAGATAGGTCAGGGTATACCAGCTATTTCCTCTATTAGCAGTAAAGAAAGTTAAAAGCTATCATTACTTACTATTCGGTGAATAACTTCATTTCACTGTCAGAAATAAAGCAAGCAACACCATACATATTTATGAGATTTTATAAATCATTCTAGAGTTTAGCTACTGAAATGCACAGGATGCATAGAATGTATTTTTTTGATAATATAGAACTTTATAAATTCAGAGTAAAAATGAGGAAAAGCAACTTTCGAATTTATTTAAAATCCAAATCAAACTATTTAAAAAGAGACATGGCTCATTAATTTTGACTTCTGTACCCATTAAAGATGATATAATAGTCCAAATAAGTAAAATGAGGCAAATCCAAGAAGAATATAATTAGAAATATGATGATTCTATGCTGTATAATTATTTTAACTCCCTAGCAAAATATAGCACTGTGTTTAGGAGGAAAGACTCCAGAGCCTGACTGGCTGGGTGCAAATTCTGGCTTGCCACTTACCAGCTGTGGGACCTTTCACAAGCCGTATTTACTCTCTCTGTGTCTCATTCTCCTCATCTATAAAATTGAGATAATAATAGTATCTACTTCATAGAGTTGTTATGAAGATTAAATTAGTTTAATTTAAGATTAATTAGTTTCTTGATATAATCTGAGAAAAGAAGCTACTTGGAGCAAGACCTCCATTCTCAAAATCTGGCAGGAAATCATACAGGTCAAGTACTATACCTGTCGAAACTAGGGTGTGGTTCCTCCCACAGGCAGCAAATTTCACTTTTTCAGGTTTGAGAGCTAAGAATAAAAAAATGTGACAATTAAGATACTTTGTTAATTAAAATGATCAACATTTCAGGTCAAATGGTTACCAAATGATAGAACTGAGATTTAAAAGCAGGCCTGATTCCAAAGTCAACGCTCTTACTCACTAAACCAGAGGTTTTCAGAACTAGTTGTGTGACATAACCAGAGGAGCTTTGAAAAGCTTAGCCCCATCCCTGGAGAATCTAAGGCAATGGGTCTAAAGTAGAACCTAGGTATCTATACATTTTTAAAAACTCCACAGAGAATTAATATGTGCTGAGATCCACTGCATTCTCCTCACCAACCTGATCCATTACCTAACCTGCTATCATCATTGGTAAGCTCACTTTTTACCACTCAAGGAAAAACTGTAAGACTGATATTCAGAGGCATACATCTATGTGAAAGTTATTCATTCACTCCTCTACATGTTCAAAAACATTTCGAGGACATCTCCTAAGTTCTTAGCATAGAGACTGCAAAAAGATGACTAAGATAGAGTCCTTGGTTTCAAGGATCTTACAGTCTATACCAGGGAGCCCCAGTCTCCAGGGCCGTGGACCAGTACTAGTCTGTGGACTGTTAGGAACAAGGCCACACAGTAGGAGGTGAGTGGCGGGCAAGTGGAGCTCTGCCTCCTGTCAGATCAGCAGCAGCATTAGATTCTCACAGGAGTGCAAACCCTATTGTGAACTGCACATGTGAGGGATCTACGTTGTGTACTTATAAGAATCTAACTCCTGATGATCCCTGTACCCCCCAACTCCCTCCCCCACCTGGTCTGTGGAAAAACTGTCTTCCACAAAACTGGTCTCTGATGCCAAAAAGTTTGGGAACTGCTGGTCTAGACAGTCCTATTAGCTGACCTATTAGATAAGACATTTGAGAGTAAGAAGCATGGTCACTGTGAATACCCCCTAAGTGTTTAGTAGACTGTGCTCACAAAAGACTTTTTGACCATATGGAATGCTTTAAAAGTCCCATAACAACACCTATAAATAGCAAGCTACACTAAAATTTTGAGCTGAAATTTAAAATTTGGCCAGGAAGATAAAGAATACTGCTCTTATCACATCTCAAGGAATCTCCATCGCCCTTTCAAGTTTAATCAATATTCATAGGTTATTTCCAAACAGAGGTTTTGTATATAACAGCGAGAAAGTTTTGTAAGGGTATTATACAGCCAATATTTCCTGAAGCAGAAAATATTTCAAATATTTTTATTTCAAATATTTTGTTCTGTTGTTCTTTTACACTAGTACTAATGAAACCCTAGTCTCAATGTTTTCTTTACTACTTACTATACATGGTACTTACTATATAAGTATGTTTTATAAACCCAGCAAACAAATAGAACTAGAATGTTCAAAACTCTACTAAATGAGACACAGCTCAAAATTCTAACACAGAATAACTTTTTATCTGTATACACAATAACAATAATATTTAAGTAGTTTTACATACAAGCCCCCCACCCGAAAAAAGGATATTCAAATGCAATACTGTAGATTGATTACTTTCTTTGTGGTCCCTGGGTTTAAAATCAATGTGATTTTTAGACCTTAACACATAAAAGTTGTTCTGAATATCATATAAAAGATAAGTTAAATGCTAATACTATTTGAGCAAATGTCAGAAAATAAAGAACTAAAGATTTATTATTTCTAACATTAAAGAACCATACAACCAATATAAAAGTACTTTATGTAGTCTGCTAAGTATTTAAAGTGATAAAATAGAAAAGATCCCAAACCTTTAACACATGTTGGCTTGTAGACAGTTGCCTTTGTTCCTAATCCTAACTGACCCCAGTTGTTACTGCCAAACACGTAAAGTTTATTATTTTCTGGTGGGAGGGAAAAAGAAATAATAAATTGAAAGATTTTAAAAATAATGTCAGATGAGGTCATAACAAAGCAATAAAAAGTTGAATTTTTAAAATGTCATTGTTTTTCTCTGTTGAAACAGGTTACCTTGTCCATCTTCATACAGCAAGAATCAATCAGGTATAAAACAGTTTCTAAAATTACACAGTACAGTTTTCAATTATATTGAAATAGATGTATTTCAAATATGGTGTGTATATAGAAAACCATACTTAAATATACTAAAGAAACTTAAAATGTAAAAGACTCTATTGATGACTCAATTTGAGAAGAATTTTCTGACAAAGTAAAAATGTTTTCTTTATATTTTCAACATGTTTAAAACATAGCACATCTCTAAGTATCACTGTGTTCATGTAGGATTATACTAACCTGTAACAATAGCAGTATGTTCATCTCCACATGAAAGATGTGTAGGTACATCATTTTTAAACCAGAATTTACTGGGCATATTTTCAGCAAATTTAGTTTTTCCAAATGTAAACACAGCACCGGTACCTGCAAATACAAAATGGTTTCTATTTTATAACTTTGACTATGTTGCCTGAACTTCAAACACTTTTAAATAATTTATCCATGTAAACCCCTTGTCTCAGGACAGTTTCACCTCCACTCTGGCAATGTTTAAGCCCTCCTTCTTCCACCTTAATTCAGTCTTACTCCTCAGACTTCATTCTAGTTTGATCTATGAAATCAACTAAATTGAACACGTATTATTCACATACTAGTATAAAGTAAGAAGTACACAACCACAAGGAAGGCAGTCATCAAATATATCACTGACATTCCTGCTGTCCTAAAGTGGACGTCTATTCCCTGGAAATGACATGATACGATTTATGCAATACTCCCTCTGGTTAACACCTCATGGCCTAGTCCCCAACTGAGGGCTTTTCTCCACACACAAAAACAGAACAGTATTGCATTTCCTTATTAGCATCATCAGGATATTCATGGGGAGGGTCTATATAAGTCACTTTGAATTTTCTGTATTTTTTCTTTTTCTTTTAAATTTTTTATTTTAAAGATGTGAGATACAATTCAGGGTTAAGTATACAAATGCTCATAATGCAGGTACCCTTATTGATGAGGTGTGCCCCCTCCCCACTCCCTGGCAGAATCCCGCTACTGCCAATCCCACACCCTGTCCCACACTTTCCCACTACTGACAATCCTTATCTTATAGTATTAAGATAATTGAATTTTCTTTGGTCCAGTTTTTCCATGAACCTCCAGTGTTCTCATGCAAGGGAAGCAATGTTACCCCAAATAGTGAACTCTTAATTTCTCTGTTGGTAATCCAAATAAGTACCCATAAAACCGGAGGAAGAAGAGAGAGAAACAAGTTATTCAATCACTACTTCTTTCATTTGCCCTATGGGAAGGCAGCTAAGGAAAAAAATAGGCTTTTCAAGGCAATTAGGTATTCAAATTATTGCTTTGTTCATAATTAGCTATGTAACCCTGAAAAGATCACTTCATTGAGCCTTAGGAACTTTCTAATTCTTATCTTACTCAGGTATTATAGGTAGCTACAGAGATGTCATTATCTCTTTCCAATAGCACTACATGGGAAAGGATGGTTTATACGGTTTATATTGTTCCCCCAAACACCATCACAAAATGTCATAGTCCTAAGAGACTCACAGAGGGGGATGCAGAAGGATGTTGGGATTTCACACTCAAAAATTAAGTCATTACCTGATCTGAGTAGAATTCACAAACTGTTTTGATCCAATACCGTTTTGAAGAGGGACCAAAAACCCCTACCAGTTCCCAGTAACCATTTAAATATATACATACACCAAACATGAGGCCAAATCTAGTTTTTGAGGAAATCTCAAGGAGGATGATCACATATAAAGAAACTAATAGGTATCAGAAAAGAAAACAGTAAATATAGTAATAAATATTAGTAATAAATATTAATGCACAAAAGACTACCCACTATGGAAAATCTTTTGAGAACCATTGTGAGACATCTCAGTTCTAATGAATAATTGAGAGTTGGAAGGCCAGGAGGATCTATAACAGGCTCTGAGTTTCCCCAGAATGAATCATTTTAACTGTTTTGTCCTGGCTCCCCAGAAAGCCTTCCCTGAAAACCCTCACCCGAATCCAGGGTTTTGGTGGCTCTCCTCTGGTCCCGTGGCATCAATGTCAAATTGTATTGCTACTTTGTTTACTTTTTTTTTTTAAATCTCTCACTAAACTGTGAACTCCAGGAGGCCCAGAATGTAACCCTGCTGCAATCAGGAGCTTGGAAGAAAACATACATATTTCAGTGAAAGAATGATTTTGCTCAAACCCAGTGTTTTTTCAAAATGTTGGTGGTGACCTATTAGTGGGTCAGAAGATCAATTCCGTAGATCACGACCGGCATTTTTAATGGAATGTATTAAAGAAAAGCTCCGAACATATCCCAAGTGGTTAGAATAAGCACTGCTTCATGAAACATCTATTTCTGTTACACAGTATGTAGGCGGTACCGGGGCACAACATCAAATGTATTTCTAACTATGGAGGTCAGGAGGAAAAGTCTAAAAGAAAAGAAAATCGCTAAACGGTCCCTCTTCTCCCCCTTTCTCCAATTCCTCTCCTCTATCCCCTCCTGATCACCCGCTCTTCTACTACATTTAATACATAACTAGGTCCTGGGGACGTCCAACGTGCACAAAACTCAAGTAGGTACTTTGGGAAGTTTACAAGCAGACAGAAAGTCCCCCAGCCTTTGAAAAATTAATCAAAAGATTATTTAAAAAGAAGGAGGGCAGGTACCACCTTCCTCGTCGTCCCCATTCCATCCTTCCCATGTGGTCCTCTTCCCTCAGTCCTTTGCGGGGGCGTAGCCAGAGCTCCCGCCTCAGTCTGGCCGCTAAGACTCGGGCCTGTCCCCCGACGAGGCTGGC